GGTCGGCCCTATCCATGGGTGGGGGGAGCCGGTCCGTGGCCCCAGCCCGTGTGTCCAACCTGCCTCTCGCTGCTTCCTCCCTAGGGATTTACCTGGCTGGCTCGTGAGCGGTGCCATCTCCAGCGGCCCCGCAAAGCTGCCGGCACGTGTCCCTTGGTGTCTCCTCCGTGGGTGTCTCTGTTTGTTGTTGGGTTTTAAGCACTGGAAGCAGCCGGAGGGGGAGGGTGCGGGCGGGAGGGGGCTAGGCCGGTTTTGGGGGCTCCGTGGGGGCACGTGTCCCCGCAGTCCAGGCATGGTGCCCGGCTGGCTGGACGCAGCCCTGCTCCCTCCAGCGCGGCCCGAGTCCCTGCTGGGGCCAAACAGGCGCCCTGCTGCCCTGACACTGGGGAAGGGGAGTCACGGGGCTGGGGCTGCTCTTTTAATAAACACTTTATTTTCTAATAAAATGACCCACCACATGCCCGGAGTCTCCTCTGTGCCATCGGCCTGGGGCTGCGGGTGGGAGCTGGCGCCTGCCCCGGGGCCGGGGGGGTATTGTCGTGTGCCCCGGGCCTGGGAGAGCAGATCTGGGCAGGTCCCCAAGCCCAGAGAGGGCTGAATCAGCCCGCGAGCGGAGGGCGCCGGGTCGGGGTCCGAAGGAACCAGCGCCGTGCTCCCCGTCCCCACGAGAGGGCAATAGCGAGCGGCTGCCTTCAGCCACGCTGGAAGCGGAGTGGGTCCTGTCTACACAGGCAGAAGTAGGCAGCCGGGTCAGCAGAGGGAGTGCAAAGCGCTGGAGCAATCCCAGCCTCACGCTGTGGACTAGGAGCTGGGCCTGGGTGGGGAGGGGGCTGGGGCCTGGGAGCTGCTTGCATGGGGGCAGTTGCTGAGCTTGGGTATCAGCTTTTGCAGCAGGTGCCCCGGGCTGGGAGCAGGGAGAGGAGGTGCCAGGTGGTGCTGGGAGCTGGCAGCACCCGGACTCCTGGGTTCTGGTCACAAGGTACTCCCCCTTCGTGCCTCAGTTTCCTCCCCCTGCAGCCGGTGCTCCCAGCCCACCCTCCCACTAAGGCGTGTGGACCTAGGGTGGAAGCAAGGGCTCTGCCATCAGGCTCCCCGCTCCGTGCTTTGGGCCAGTGCTTCCAGAAAGTGCATGCACCCTTTCTTCTGCCACGCAAGGGTGGAAAAGCACCCAAGCAGCCACATGCTCTAACCTCACGCCAGATCCCAGGCCGGTGGGCCGTCCCTGGCCCTGCAACACTTTGTGTCTGTAAGGAGTTTTCACCCACCCACCACACTGCGGCCCTGCCTCCTCCACTCGTTAGCTGCAGCCTCGTTCGTTAGCCTGCGCTCGCGGGTCCCAAGGAGGGGGACCGGTGCACCCTGGTGGGTTTGGCTCCAGTGCGGAGGCTGCTCTCAGCTCCCCCAAAGTCTTGTGCAAGGGAGCAGGGGGGCTACGGGGAGGGCTCAGGCCCCTGGGAGCACCTGTCACTGGGTGGGGGGGATTCGCACGCGTGTGTATAGGCGTGCATGCGGGGGAGACCACCACTCTGAGCACAGACGTGCTCTTTGCCCTGCAAAAGTGCAAGGGCTGGGGCAGAGCGGGGCTCGACCCGAGCTGGGGGGGCTTCCTAGGACCTGGCTGCCTGGGCCCCCGATCCCGCCCCTGTCCCCAGTGCTGTTCCCACGCTGGGCTCGTGCAGGATGGATGCAGGGTGCCAGCACCGGCTCCCCTGGGGTCCTACCCCCCAGCTCCCGGGGCTGGCTGAGCCTGGGAGCATTGCTCTCCGGGCACCTGGCTCCCGGCTGCTGTTGTTCCCGCCGCTCACGCCCTGATCAATGGCCCCACGTGGCAGCCTGGCCTGGCCTGGCCTGGCCCAGAGACTGGTCGAGTCACATTTCTTCGGCCCTGAGACAAGAGGAAGGTGTGGCTGGGTGGAGACGGCTACTCTCCGGTCTCCTGCCCTGCTCTTCCCCCACCACCCCCAGCACCGCGTCCCCTGCAGCTGGGAACAGCCCTGCTCTGCCCTCTCCCAGGCTCCCTGGCCCGCCCGGCTCTGGTTCCCACCGCCTGGGGCTCGACCTGCGCCCTCCAGAAGGCAGGAGGTGCCATCGGGCAGCTGTGGCTCTGCCCCCCGCATCGGGGGGAGCAAAGCAGGAGCTCAGGGGTGCGGGCGATGGGCAGCAAAAGGGCCCAGGATCCAGGGCTTGGGGCTCACAGTGGCAGGCTGCAGGATGCTGCTCCCATGGTCAGGAGATTGGGAGCAATGAGCTGGGCCTGGGTGGGTGGGAGCCAGCCCCCTGCCTTTTGCAGCATAGCTGGGATCCACTCCCCTCCACACCTCAGCAGAGGCCAAGGCAGGGCAGGGAAGGGTTAAGGAGCTGGCTGCCTCAGTGGATGCAGTGCACCTGGCCAGGTGCAGGCACAGCTGGGGGCGGTTGTGCAGCCCTGGAGCAGATCCTGGAGGGCCGGGGCCTGGAGGAGGGTGCTGCTACCCCAGGCAGGGAAGGTCCCCAGAGCCGGGTAAGTGCTAGGCTTGCAGCGCAGCCCTGGGTTCATCCCCCTTCCTGCACCAGCCAGCTGTGGGGATAGGGCTGCAGAGGCATTTCCAGGGCTGGGGGCTCTGGCAGACCTCCATCCCTGGAGCCGGGCTTCGGGCCGGCTGCCCCAGCCTTGGAGGGGCAGGGCTGGCTGTCGGCCCGCCACCTTCATTGCGGGGTGGGGAGATGGCCTGGCACTCCCGTAATGGGTAATGCCAGCGCCCCGCTCTGAGCAAGCACTTGGGGCGATGGGTGAGTTCTTGCAGCCCTGGCAGCTCTCATGAGCCAAGCAGGAAGGCTCGGGGCCATCGCGGGAGTGGTGGACCTCTTGAGAAATCCCCTTGGCCGTGCCAAGCAGGGTGAGTCCAGCTCCTTCCTCCTCCTGGCCCCAAGGCGAGGGGCTGCCAGGAGCCCCAGCTTCACGGGGCCTTTTGGATGTGCCTGGAGCCCCGCTTCCACCTGCTTCGGTGCCCGACGGGCCGTCGCTGGGGTGGATGACGCTTGGGCACGGCTGCCAGGGCTCTGACGTGTCCAGCAAGGGGCTTTTGTTTGGAGCGGCCTCGCTAGCTGAAAGCAAACGCCAGCTGCTTTGCATCGTCTCATGGTCAGACGTTGGCTAACCCAGCTGGGCGCATCCTTCTCTGGGACCAGCCTTGCCCCGGGGCTGAGCATCCTCATGAGCTGTAGTGACCGGGGCACGGTGTTTGGGGGAGCTGCTGATCCTGAGAGGAGACACGGGGTCCAGCTAAGCGGGTGCAGGGGCCGAGCTAGCCCATGTGCTCAGCACGTGACCATACCCGTGTCTACACCGTGGCAGCTCAGGCCCAGCTGGTGCATGGGTAAGCATTGGCCCTGGCTCTCCCCGGCCCCTGCCCAGCTCCGGGGGTGACCAAGCAATGCTGCTGGGGTGCCTGGAGCCCTTGGCAGGGGCCGTTGCTGGCCACGTGTCCGGCCGGGCTGGGGAGCAGCGAGGTGCGTCCCAGGGCTGCCGTTCCAACGGAGACCTCGGCTCCCTCAGACACGGGGCCGGTTGGCACCTTGCTAAGTGCTCCTCCGCTGCTGCCGGTGCCTGTCACCGTCTGGCTCACTCCCAGCCGCCCAGCTCCTGCCTTCAGCAAACACCCCGGGGACGTGGCGTAGCTGGGAGCAGCTCATTGCAGCAGCACGCTCCCCAGCAAAACAAGTCCATCTCCCCGGGCACCGCGGCATGGCATCCAGCGCCCCGCGGCCCTGAGGGGTGTGCCCGGGGAGGCATTTTGCTTGAAGGAGTGGGCACCTTTTGCACCAAGGAGGCAGCTCCTTGCCCGCAGGAATTGGCAGGGTCTGAAAGTCTCCACCTGTGACGAGTGTCAACCTACGATGCAGCTCCTGGGGCCCAGGTAACGCCAGCCCCCGGGTCCCCCCTGCCCTGCCCAGCTCCAGTCCTCGGGGGACGATGTGGAGGAGATTGGTGAGTGTTTTGGTGCCCAGAGAGGCCCCGGGTCCTAGGGATGGGGTGCATAAAGCAGGCTGGCCCCCCATCCTGCCAGGAGGAGCTTGTGGGGGCGAGGAAGGGCCCTTTGCAGGGGTGGGTTTGCTGTCCCAGGCAGGTGCGGCGGGGCTGGCTGTCCCCAGGAGGTCTGTGCTGGTGTCTCTGGCTCTCTCCTGCACTTGGTCACCATCTTAAACTCCTCCGTAGCCCCCGGGGCTAGACCCTTCCACAAACAGCCGGGATGCCCTGTGGGCGGGCATCCTGGCCGCAGAGTGCGGGGCTGGGCCGGGCCCTGGGGGCGTCGTGGGAAACCTCAGGCATTGTTTTGGGTTTTGTGGAAAAATGTTCACGTTCCAGGTCCAATTAGCCAAATCGGTTCCGAATCCTGTCGATTGAGCAACACTCAGTCGTTCCAGGACCATACGTAGTGTTACCACCGACACGTTTCCTCCACTCCCAAATCCGTGGGCGGGCATCCTACGTGTACGGAGGCTTGTGGTTTGGATGCCCCATAAGTCACACTTACGCTTGACTAAAAGTCACAGGAGCAAGCTAAGTAGGGAGGAGTCCCTGGTTGCCATAAAGTCGTGCGTAGCCGAGATCCTCCCGTTGGAAGCTGGCCGGCGGGAAGCTAATTATAAGACTGGCAGGGTGTCCTGTCCATGGTGCCCTGGGCAGGGGTGCACCCTCCACTACACAATGCCATTCAAGTCTGCTCTTGACACTTAATCATGGTGTAATGTCAAACGCTGTCTCCCCTGCCAGGTGGCAGAAACCTCAGGTATCGGAGAGCCAGGAAAGGCGGTGCGAATGTGACGCTGCATGCACGACCTCTGCCCTGGCTTCACGGAGCTGGCTGCAGTGAGCTGGGGGTGGGCAGGGGCTTGTCCAGAGCCCACCTGGCCCATGTGAGATGCAGGGTTGGAGATGGGCTGCAGGTCCCAGGCCCGTGCGGGGCTGTCGAGGGGCCGGGCCGGGTGTCAGTCGAGGCACTACGTGTGGCGGCAGTGGCCAGGTCAGGGGGAGTGGCCGGCCTGCCTCGTTATTAGCACGGGTGAGAGTGGCAGCACTGGGTGGCCGGGGTCTTGCACCAGGATCTCGGCCAGTTCTGCCAGTGCAAACGCGTTGCCAGCCAGGCCTTTCCCTCGCCACTGGGGTCAGCTCCGGGGGTGGCTACAGCATATCCCTGGTCTGCCGGAGGCTGGAGCCTGCCCGTGCAAGTGGGAGCAGCCCCAGGGCTGCTGTGACCTCAGCTCGCCCACGTGTGGGGTTCCTCTGGCATTTTGCACTGATGCCCTCCCTGGGGGAAAGGAGGGTATTGGGGCTAGAAGCTGCCCGCTGCTTGCAGCTGGCAGGGCTGGGGTAGGGGGGCTTGCAGTCCCCAAAGGCTGCAGGGGCAAATCCAGAGGGGTTTGGGGGATACAATCCCCCCCACCTTGATTCAGGCAGAGCTGAGGGAGCCCACTGGCTTCACAGCTCACGGC